ATGAAGAGAGTCCTAAATATACCCCCCCTTTCAAAAGGGGTTGGGAGAGTGTGCTGGCTAGTCTGCATCAACTTGATACATGCTATAGTCTCCTGAGAAGAGGAAACCTCAAATTGAGAAAATATCTCTATAAGATCAGGCTGTAGGCAAGGCTGTGTGGCATTTTCATAATTAGTGATTGACAGTGGATGGACCCACTCACTGTGTGTGTGGCCACTCCTGGAATGGTGGTCCTAGATTCTATAAGAAAGCAGGCCAAGCAAGCCATGAGGTTTTAAAGCTAGGTAAATCAGTAAGCAGCACCCCTTCATGGCCTCTGCATCAACTCTGCCACCAGGTTCTTGCCTTTGCTTTCTTCAATGGACTATGACTTGAAATATGTGAGCCAAATCTGCCCTTTCCTCCCCATAGTGTTTTGATCATAGTGTTTCATCATAGCAATAGTAACCCTAAGACAGAAATGAAGGAAACAATTCACCCACAAACGCCAAACCCCTTCCCCTTCAAATGAGTAACCTAGCTTTAAAATGTATAATATTGTCAATGACACCCATGGGAGGGATCTGTGTCACAGATCTTGTCTTTTGCTTAACTATCACTTGGTCTTTGTGGCCATCTGCTTTGTCAAGATGCAGCAAAGATGACCAACTTAGACATTCCCAGAGCACCTACCATGTGGTGAGCGTGGTATCTAGGAAGAGGGCCTGTACCATGTTTCCAGTTAGCAGAAGAGGAAATGGGCTCCAAGTGCAGCAGAGTTCTGAAGCACTCAAAGTCTGAACCCCTGGAGGGATCCCATTGAGGTGACAGGGTGACAAGAGACTGAGAGGACGAATTCACACTGAGACAGAAACACTTCTTTCCTTCTATGACTGCCTTGTGCTCTGGGGAGGTGACAAGGGCAGTCCCAAGGCAACAGTGACAAGGTCAAGAGTCCACCTCAACACTTTCCTCTGCCACAGTTTAACAGCCACTTCCTCCCACCAGACTTAAGGATCCTAAGTACCATTTTGGCCTTTGCTACCCTTTTAGGTAATGACAATCACAGCTGCCCTGGACAGCACTCAAGTCTGAGCGAAAAGCACAGCAGGGTCAGATACATAGGCTGGTCTGTCACAGGGGCCCAGGAAGAATCTGGGCATTGCCACTTCCCAACAGTGACATTCACTCATTCATTTAATGAGCTCACCCACATTCACAAAGTACCTACACTTTGAGTGATCAATCAGTGATGAATTCACGGAGTCCTGTTAGGATCAGAGAGAGAGACACAGAAATACACTGAAGGGAAATCTGCCTGCACCTGGGCATCTGGAAAGTTCCCTTAGGGTGGAGTCTGAGGCCCAGGTGGCCTTCTAGTCAGATGTGACAGTAGAAGCAAGGGCTCAGGTATGAGGAGGGCCTTCAGAAAGCATGACAGAAATGCAGTGGACCCAAAACCTTTGCATGGAGGTGATATATCTGTAAAAAAGGATGACTTTCCTAGGGCACACTCAACAGGATACAGGAGTCTACTGTACCCTGGCCTCTTATAGGGTACTAGCCCCTACAGTTTTCCAGAAGCATCCTGCAGCAGGTAGAGGAAGGCCTTCTCAGCACCCTATAAGCTTGCATGACAAGAGTTCTGGGCCTGCCTAAGTAACCAGCTGCCAAATGGGCCTTTTTATCTGGATGCAGGATTCCACAAGGATGCCCTTCTACCACTGTTGCAGAAGCAAAAAGAAGAAACTTCAAAACCCTTCAGCAGGACTCTGGGCAGCTAGACTCTGAAACCACCTGCCCCACAGAGTGTAGGTCTGTTCTTAAATAGATCAGCGTGTAAAGCCAGATGAAAACAGCTGTAAGGTGCTTTGTTACACAGGGAGAAGTAACACATTGACCAATGTGCAGCAGATGACCAGTTGCTAAAATGAGCAAGTGTGTGCAGGGGGCTTGGAAAGGTAAATCAGCTGGCAAATTTTCCTGCTCATGGGCCAGAAAATGAGGGTGCTGGGAGAGGGAAGGTCTAGAGATCTTCTTTTCTCTACTTCTTAATACCCACCTGTATTCCTCTTAAACTACCATTGCTGTGTGTGTGTGTGTGTGTGTGTGTACAAAATGCATGTTCATGTGCCTGAGTATGGAGATAAGAAGTCAATGTCAGGGATTTTCCTCCATTTGCATTTATTTAAACCTGGAACTTATGGACTGGGCAGTGAGTTCCAGGGACCCACCGGTCTCTGAGTCCCCAGAACTAGATTCCATGCACAAGCTTCTGCATCAGCTTTTTATGTGGCTGTAGAGATCTGAACCCAGGTCCTCTGCTTACATATCAAGCACTTTACTGACTGAGCAATCTCCTAATCCTTTAACTGCCTGAGATTGTAAATGTTATGATTTGGCTGTGAAACAGCCTCCCAGGCTTGTGTGTGGAAGCATTTGGTCATTGGCTATTTGGGCAGACTGTGAAACTAGATGGAGTCTCACAGGAGGAAGGAGGTCACTGGGTGGGGGTGGGAGCTCGGTGTTTATAGCCTCATTATCCATGCCATGTAACCAGACATCTCAAACTCACCCTACAGAGCCACAAACCTCTCCTGTGCCACCATAATGGACCATATCCTGTGAATCTGTGAGCACCGATAAATCTTTCCTCCTTTTGTTGATTCATCCAAGTTTTATTTTAGATTTATTTATTTTAATTTATATGAATGTTTTGCATAAATGTATGTATGTGCACTATGTGCATGTATGGTGCCCTCAAAGGTCAAAAAGCATCAGACTCCCTGGAACTGGAGCTACAGAGGTTTGAAAATTACTGTGTGGATGTGGGGAACAAAATCTCATAACCACAAGTGCTCATTACCACTGAGCAACCTCCCTAGCCCAGTCAGGTATTTTAACAAAGTGACGAGGAAAGAAACCCTCATTGTAAAATAAGATTTTTTTTCAAGAGTCCAAAAAGGTTGGCATTTTTAACTGATAAATAAAACCCAGTCTCTAAAACAATACTTAGCCCTGCCACTTCTAACTGAGGGACAATGGGTAAGCCACTTCACTTCTGCTGTATGAGAGTCACAACTGGTGACAGTCGGTCAGGTGGGGATGAAACAACACACACACACACACACACACACACACACACACACACACACAAACGGCAGCACATCACACGTGGACAGAGAGCACCACTCTGTTATTGCCACTGCTCAGATTAGCAGTTCACAATTTGTACAGGAGGCTTCACAATAAGAATAAGGGCTTCCCCCTCCACAGTGAGAACGAGGCACCGATGCTGCTCTCGGTAAAAAGCATCCACAGCAACAGTGGGCACCTACTATTATTTTAGCCTTTATGCTGACACTATCAAGGTTCAAACTGAGCCTATGCTAAAATGGGCCACTGCTTACTTCCTGTCTACCTGTGTCCCCTCTCCAGCCAGCCCTGCAAGTCTGGAATACTCAGAGCTAGACACAGAAACAGGAGTATTCACAGGAGACAGACATCTGGACTCATGGGGCTACAAAGGTATCAAGAGGAAGAGCCACTGACCTGATGGAGACACATTGTAACTGACCTAGGGGATAATACCATATGGCCACTCCCATCACTGAAAAGAGAAAACAGTTTGTGGGACTGCTGACAGGAAACAGTCCAACCAGAGCTATGCCATCAGTGAAATGACATTGATCCAAATGCCAGCTTAAGGAAAATGAAAACAGGAGAAGCATGTCAAACAGCTCTACCCAGAGATGCCATCAAGGAAACTCGAGGGTAAAAATCCAAGACAGAAACCTAGTATTATTCATAAACTAACCACAGGGGAAAGAAAGACAAGGGAGGACCCAACAGACAAAAAAGTAAGAGAAAAATCAAACTTTCAAAGAAAGCATAGTGGATGGTGAAGACTGACGAAAGAAGCAAGGGTTAATGATTTCAGATGGAGAGGATGGTCAATCTCCAGAGACAAATTGCCAGGATGGCTACACAATACATGAAGGTACATGATTGAAATGTCTTCCTAAAATAGTTGGAATAATTTAGGTGTATCTATCTTACCATCATTTTTAAATTATGAGAAAGAAACCTAAGTGACAATCAATGGATTACAACATCTGGGCCTCATGTATATCACAAATTTTAAGAGTCTAATTAAAATTGAGATATTTGGACATTTGAACACTGATGTTTGCTGCAGTAAAGGATTTAGTAGATGTAAGGAGTAAAAAGGGCATAGCATTTACTTTTTTATTTTCGGACATATACAGTAATGTCCAGAGATTAAATACTACTTTATATTTTACTCCAATACACAGAAGGAAGAAACAGGAAATGTTAAGTTGAAACAGAACTGGCTATGGCTGGTGAAAGCTGAACCTGGCAACAGTTACTTGAGAGTGCACACTATTTACCTGCACATCCTTGGAACTTGGAGTTTTGCAGAGAAAGTTTTTAAAGTGAAGATGAAGTTATAATGTGCATGGATGGAAGGACCAGCATCCAAATTCCTATAGCACCACAGTTCGCAGTGGCATGATGCAGAAACAAGGTAAATATCTAAAGGACACAACTGATCACACGTGTTTCAACAGATACAGAATGACTGAGCCAAGGAAATGGCCCAAATCAGCAATTCTCAACCAGGGGTGTCTAGGGGAGACGAATTACTACCCTCTATAGAATGAAAAGCACGAATTCCAGAATTCACAGGTCAGCCCCATAACAAACAATTACACGACCAAAAATGTCAACAGAGTAAGTGAAAAGCCCTATAACTCAGCCTATATAGGATGCCCCTCAAACCAAACTACTGGACAAAAACAAGCAAAAATAAGCAATGAAAAGATCCGTACCAGCAGACCACATGGGTACAAGTTAAGACACAAAACCGATCCTGGCACCTGACTGGACTGACCCAGCAGTGAGACTTCGGGTAACAGAGGCCTGCCTGATCCCCATAGCAAGGGTGGGCAGAGGCAGATAGCAAGGCTGGGACCTGCTTGCTGTTGGGGAACACTTACAGGGCCTCGGAGGTCGATCAGCTCCTGCCTCATCTGGGACACCAGGGCTTCCTTGGCCACCAGAGCCCGATGTAGACGCTCATTGAATTCAATCAGCTCTCCATGCATCTCAGCCACCTGAAAAAGACAAGCAGGACACTGTAAGGCTCAGTCATAGCCCTTGTCCATGCTGAGCCCTGATTCTCTGCAGCCTCCTTCCTATAGCAAGACACCAGCTGGACACCAGCATGGTGTACCCAGTAGCATGCAACCCTTCCAAGAGTTGGGTGAGTCTTGACAGTTTATGGTCAGAAGATGACAGTGTTGTGTACCATTTCCAAACCTTAACAACACTTTTTTACCAAGAGTTGGTTTGTTTTGTAGTCTGAGTTATGACTGTTAAGAAAGTTTGAAGAAAAATAAAAGTTCTTGCTGGGACTGGAGGTATAGCTCAGTGGTAGAGTGACTGCCTATTACCCATGAAACCCTAGGTTCAATACTTAGCAATGCAAAAATAAATTAATAATTATGATGATGTCCCAGCTAGTGGTCCATTGGGAATAAATGCCATTCCATTCAGTGAGTCCTTGGTTTCAGGTAACACACACCTCAGCTGCACCACTGCTTCAGTCACCGTTGACTCCACATCAGAAAATATCTTTCCCATGCTCTCTGTGGGCTTCATGACAAAAGCTCTGAGAGGTGGGTATATTGATCCCACCTTCCAGAAAGCAAATGCAGCACTCAGGAGCTTCAAGGACTTGTTCTAGGCCATGCATGTTGTGGGAATTCGGTCTGATAGCCAACTGTATGGGGCAGTTCTCTGGAGAAACATTACCCAAGGGGAGGGTCACAAGCTCTCTTCGACAGTGTAAGAGCCGGCAGAGCCATGGCTTGGAGTTTCCCCATCACCCCTCGGGAAGGAGGTTATAGCGCCAGCAGCAGAGAGCTAGTACCCCAGCAGGAATGGCAGAGCAGGTGGTGACATGACTCGGATTCCTCATTCTGCCTTGTAATTGTGAATAGATTTTGATATTAATAAATGGTAACACAATCCCCAGACGTCCCTCCTGATGTGAAGGTGATGGATGGCAGATCAGAGCCCTGGCTGGGTGCTAGGGTCCTGCACCTATACCAGCCCCTCATGCAGCTGGTCAAAATGCTGTCGCTGAACCTTGCAGGAAGACCTGCAGCCTCACTCAGCCTGGCCACTGCCTCCTAACAGAATCCTCCCATACCCTGGACTACACAGCATTTACTACATTCTGGGATACATACAATAACACCAGGCTATTTGTCCCAAGTACTTAACATGACATATAAAAAATACTGCCAGAGTGCCACCAGAGGGAGGGGTAAAGGCAGAAGCTTCTGTCAGGTGTGGGAGGCCAGTTACCTGAGTCTCACCTCAAGAAGCAAAAAAGAGCCCCCTCTTTCTCACAAAGACAAAATATACAGAAGGAAACACACCAGTGTACTGAAATCCAGGGAGGGTTTCTTCCCATTCTTTCTGCTTTCCTTACGTAAGCTTCTTAGTAGTGAGCATCTTCCACTCATCAAAAAGGAACGCATTCTTTAACTAGACTCTTTAAGGATTTGAAATGCCAAGAAACACATGACCATGCAGTCAGTGAGCCTTCCCAGGCTTTATCTTTCTTCTTCCTGAGTGATCCATGATGGAGTTAATTTTCAGTATGTATGTATGTGTATCTATTGACTCTTTGACAATTCTGCACATAGAACATAGAACACACTCTGTTCAGCTAATGCTTCTATCTGCTTGCTCCATGGATCCCTTTTTTATGGTGTCCTATGTCCCTAACATGCCAGCCTCACCAAGGACATAAAGCACGACGTACAAAAGGTGCCTTAAGAACAAATCTGTTAAGGACGTGGGGCTTTGAATCTTTTAGCATCTCTTGGCTTGCAGGAGTCAAAGATCAATTTTCCCCACTTATTCATCACTAAAACTTATGTTGATCTCAAATTCAACAAACACATACAGCATTACCAATTACACCTGGAGATCCTCCACATGAAAGTCATGTGACCTTCCAGACTATCCTTGAGTCAAGCAGGAAGTTCACAGCTGCTGGTTGGCTGCTGATGGACCTGATAATGTGCTCCCACAAAATGCAGGCTTCAAACAGGTGCCACTGTCATTTCCTATTGTGGAGCAGAGTTCTGTGGGTTTTGTTGGGCTTAGCTATAGGAGTCAGAGTGCCACAACAATTTTCCATAAATTCTTAGAGCATCAAACCACCCAGGGCTCCAGGGTGTTCACAGAGATGTCAAAACCCTGATTCCCTTTTGCAGTCACAATTGTGATTGACTATCTGACAAAGTTTACCAATGGAACCACAGAGACAACACTTGACTGGAATAATTTCACCAGTGCTCCGGTGAACGAAGGCCATGAAGTCACCATGTTCTGGAATTGTGGCTGGGGGACAGCACCAATGGAACTACCAGACTGGGGTTAAGAGAACAGATGCCCTCCAACCTAAGTCCCTCAAGCTGACAAGGTGTCCTTCTCATAGTCACATCACATATTCTCACCTGCTGCTTGATACCCTCAATGTCCAGCCCCAGGATAAAATCCACATACTCTCTCCCTACTCCATCTCTCACTCTTGGTCCTTGGTAACATCACTGGCCCTGACAGTCTTCTCTGCCCATAGCCATGCTGAGCTGTAGGAAGTCATCCTACAGAGAGAGAGAGGCCTATGCACCTGAGGCCAGTCATCACAAAACAATGGAGATGCAGACTGTCACCTAACTGGGCCACAGTTCAGATGTGAGGTGATGCTAGGTCACAAAATGGCAACAGGTTTGAGGCAGGGTAAACGTCCAGTAAGTGAGACCCTTCTGCATGACAGGTCAAGAGACTTGGAGGAGGGGTCAAAGAAGGCCTGGAGAAGTCAAATGGGAAAATGCCACAGAAGGAAATGGAACAGCACTCTGGAGGCTCACTATTCCTCAAAGCAAGACTGCCATATGCTTAACCACCTGCTGGCATGATGGTCAGTGCTGAGGTAGGATGGCAGGAGGGACACATAATCGTTTCCTTTGATGTTTGGCCAGATAAATCAAGACAAGAGCTTCCTGGAAGATGTTACTTTCAGAGTTTCAGCAAGCTGAGTGTTTCCTTCAAGCTGAGCATCGAGGACAATGATCTTCAAATACAATGGGGCTACAAGGGAGCTTTTAAATCTGTGAGGATCCCAGAGTTACCACGATTGCCTACCAAATCACAAAGTATTATAAATGCATAAAAAGAAAAGCCTCTGGCATTTCCTTTCATACTAGAATGTTCTCTGTCTCATCACATTCAAGTAAATCATGCCTTGCCCTCCTCCTTCAGGTAACAAAAGAGACTTCCTGGTTAAGAACAAGACAAGCCCCAAATTTCAGTAGCAACTGAAACTCTTCTAGTTACAACCAAAACATGTGCTCTGATGCCTTGGGATCTGTCAATGACATAGATCTTTCACCTGCTGCCCGTGGGCCTGTCTGCAGTGACTGTTAGGAGAACTCTTGAGTTCTCCATGAAAAGTGCACGGTACCTGCCTAGTTAAAAACCCAGCCAGTGCCAGCTGCCCTATATTAGCCAATTGCACAGCCTCTTAGAGGCTTTAGGAATCCAGTGCCCTTTCCTACAAGGTGGGTAGCTAAGCCACTGCATGGTGATAGGCCTGTGTCAGAGTCAGACCACACAAAGTAGAGACTTAAACCCACATCTTGGTGGCCTTAGCAGTGATCTGTGCCCAAACATTTGAATTGTAGTAGGAAGCTAACCCCCTTTGTGGTAAGGAAGGGAGGTTTTTCTTGCATGGTAAAGACTAGTAGCCCATGACCCAGCTGATCATAGTTACCTGGTAAGTTCCATTCTGAGAAATGTAGATTTATGACCCATGAACTCTCAATTGAAATGGGAGGACCTAGCATGAGCTACACAGTTTATCTGACAGGGGCCTCTGAGGCACAGGTGTCAATAACTGTCACTACTCTGTTTGAACTGCTGCCACCAGGTCCCCAATATTAACCCTCATGCATCATGATGCAGCCAAACAAGGAATCCACAAGCCAGCCTTATGAAAAGGTGACAAGCAGCCTCTCTTGTCAGCCCAAAGGACACCAGTTCCAGCCAGTTAGCAAAGTACAAGGATCCAGAAACAATATTACAACAGCAGTTAATTCTGTCACCTTCCTCATGGTTTCTGAAAAAAAAGATCAAAAGAAAAACAGCAAAAACAACCTGGAGCTACAGCCCTGTGCTGAGCTCAGGACCTCAAGAGAACTCCATACAGCCACATGGGTCTACAGTAAGCACAGGACCATCTTTCCAGACTGCTGGACAGCCTACAGCACAGCAGATTCCAATTCCACAGTCTCAACATAGAGCCATCTGGCCCCTCCCTAGCTGTGACCTTGGGCAGATTACTTTCTCCTCATTGGTGTCAGTTTCTCATCTGCAAAACAGGGTAAATAACAACACAAATTTGAGAAGGCCCAAAAGGAGTTAATCAGTTAATGTTCCAGAAAGCTACACTAGGGGTGGGGATGAGGAGTTATTTCATAACTGCTGTTGCTATTGCTACCATCAGACCGATGTCCAGCAGTGTTAGCCAGCAGTACCCTGGTTCTGTAGGACCAATGCCCTCAATCTTTCTTAGTTCTGCTCCTCTTGTCTACCCATTGCCAGATGATTTTCAACCTGAACAAGCACTATAGCACCCTCTGACCAAATGATGCATGGTGCTTAAACAGAGCCTGAAGTTTGCTCAATATGCATTGGTGGAGTCTTTAGAATTTAATCTTTAGAATGAGCTAAATGCCATGAATGGGCCTGTCAGTTGCTGAGTGGATGAGTCAGTTAAAGGACAGCATGGTGCTGGACCTGGCTGAGACAGATGCCCAGGGAGCATTTGCAATTGATGGCAGCCCTGCCTTCTCCCCTGTCCTCCCCCTGAGCCATCTGACCCTCAGGCTGGAAAAGGCTGGGGAGGAGGTGAGGCCCTGCAGAGTTGCCAACCATCCCAGGATCCTCAGAAATCAATAGCTGTTCTTTGTGAGCAAGCCTAAAACAGCTGGCAGGGCTTTCGAAAGGAGAGTCCAGACAAGGCTTTTAAAGTAAT